TTGGTCAATATAGTAATTATAGTTATAGTAAAGTGATGACCCGGAGACGGCGCTAGCATGTGGGGTGCTTCTGCAGTTGTGACGATGGATGATGACTTGTTTGTTCATTCAAACTAAATACACAGAATTGACTGTCACTCCAAACATCTCACATCAAAGTTGGGGTACCTCATTTTAAAACAGCAACCAATGGGGCTATTCATCTAACAATTGCTGACTCTCAAAACAGATTCTATCACTACTGTTCACATGCTTGTATTTTTGGCCTTTGTCACATCTTTAAATCTGCTTTTTCAGACAGAAATGTGAAAAACTGGGGACCACCTTCACTCAGCCAATCAGCTCTCGAGCCAAAGCTTATAATAGTGAATCAAGGGATGTGTCTTCCAAGTCTACAAAAGAGAGTTTTCTAATAAGATGAAGACAGCATGTTATGGTCTTATTGTTCACAACAATTCACTTTTACAAGACTCTTTCTGTAGGCACAAACGTAATATATTATCTATGGTAAAAAAATACAGCACCACACTTAAACACTGACTAAGTGGAGGACCAAATAGGAAAATAAAACATGTATATCAATGTACTTTTGTTTAAGTGAACAAGTTATAGAGCCACCAAATCGTTGTTGTTTAATAATGCACTAAAAAGCAAAATTGCCCACAATTTTCCTGGTAGGCGTATAGCTTGGACATGCCTGCTGTAGCTGATTCATGGAGAAAAGATGTGCTGAGTTGTGATAGGCTAGCTTGGCAGGTGACCAAGACACCGGCAAGAATCGGGCCTGAGCTGGAATGAGGAAAAGGGGTACAGTGCAGGGAAATGTCTTCAGTGTGAGCTTGACTATGGCTCAATTTTCCTTTGACTATTATAAAAAGCTGAACTCAGTTTCCTTCCTCCTGTGATAATCTTGGGTGGTGTGCTGACGACGAGCTTCTATCAGTGATGCCTGAGTGGCCCTGAACACCCCGCGCTGCTATCTGGTGCTCTCTCTGTAATCATATGTGAAAGAGCCTGTATGCTGGCTGGTCTTCTGCTGCAATGTTTACCACATCAGAATGCATTAGCCATACAGGACTGTGAAGGTGAGAATATGGGCAGTTACAGAAATGGCAGGAGTGTAGAAAAAAACCCATTTGATAATATTGCATTCACACAATAAACAGTTGTGGAAAGCTACAGTAGCCACAGCTGCCTTGGGACTGGCAGAACAGAGGCCCAAACATTCTCTCACACATCTGACTCATACTATAAGGCAGATGTTTCCAAAGTAGGAGGGGGGGACAAATTAATTAACAAAAAATACAATAAAAAAAAAAACAAATAAAATAAAATAAAATAAAAAAGGCTAAATACAGTGGGGTAAATGACACTGCACTGCAATGGAATCTGAAAAAAGTGTATTTATGTCCTTTTGGGGGGGGGGGGACTGGAACGAGGCGGTGATGGGGAGGAGGAGGGTTGCGGCATGAATGAAGCCGCTGCTTGGTGGTTGGAGCTTTGTCGCGAGATACTTTAGCTTCTTATTTGCTGATAGACTATATATAGATGTACTCCCAATTGGCTTTGTGGGATTCAACAAAGCTTACGTGTGCCAGTGTTATCGCCCCTCCTACAGTCTTTCTATATTTATTACATGAAATGGTTAAGAAGATCCTCCCAAACTTTTCCCTTTCTTGCCCATTTAGCTCATGTTCCAGGGAAATATGGCCGTAATGACTTGGCAGTGGGGGGCTTGGCTGTTTAATGAGAAGGCTTTCCTGCTCCAGCACAATCAAATGAGTCCCTAATTTGATTTTCCCTCTTGACCTCTATTCCTCCTGGAAAACTACAAAGCACTGGGGACTTTTCAAAGGCTTCGCAGGAGAATGGTGAGGTGCATAATGAGAGCATGGAGATAATGATGAGATTTTTCCAGAGCACAAGTGTGGCAAGTCCCAGCAGCGTGCTCATCTGTATGCACAAACTGATACTGAGCATTAAGCGTGAATGCGTTTCAGATCCAGCCCCTGTAATGTCAGTGTAGTGCTGTGGACCCTAACCCCAATCAGGGACAGCCCAGTTGTGTTGCAGGATAAACATAGAAGATCAGCTCAAAAGATCGACGCTACAATAGTATTATTGTTTTGTTATGACCCAATCGTTAAAAATGCAGCGCTGAAGTGTGCACTGTATTTAAACACTTGTCAAGACGCCGCCCCCTCCTCCTTTCCTTTATTCTCATCCTTAGTGTCATAATTTAAAGTTTATGTGTTTATTAGATGTTTCGAAGCAACAAAGTGAGAATATATATTTTTCTCCTTAAATAAACGTGACAACATGCTTTATTTGTTTTTTTAAAATTCTTTTGTTAACGGACGGTAACTCTACAAAACACTTTCTAGACCCCGGCTGGCTCCCTGGTCATCCACAACACAACACAACAACCAAGCAGCTCACATCCATCACTAGCAGTTCCAGCGCACTCCTGCTGCGGTCATCAGCAGTACTTACATTCTCATTACATGCCTGCTGACCTATTTGAAGTCACCAATCAACTCCCTGTGTGTATCGTATATACTATGTTGCAACCATCTATTTATACAGCAGCCTCTAAGTGAGAGCCAAGTGGAGTACAATCTGCATATACTGTACTTCTCTTTGTCCTGGCATTTCTAACATCTTAAAGATCAAGGAGAAAATACTCAAGATTTTTTTGGAAAAACACACAAACATAATGTATTCAATGTGAGAATAAACAAAGGAAGCTGATGATTAACTGATATTAATACGATATATTTATATTTGCACTTAACCGGAGGTGATTTGGTGAATGTTTTATGTATATGGGGAAAAACAAACCTGCAACTTTCTTGCAAGTTTCCATCATTTACCAACAATTCCCGAATCAGCTTAAAGCACAACCCAAATAAACAACATGATTAAAAGATGTTCTGGTTTGAAACACATCCAGTAGAAATCCATTTACTGAGAGCCTTGGACTCTTTTTGACATCTGCTTCACAAATGTGCAAGGCCAAGGTATGTTTGTTCACCTTGAAGATGCATATAATGTATCGCTTTGTTCTGTTTTGTACATTTCCGTGTTGATACGCCATACTGTACCGTTTATATTTTCATCAGCATCAATGAAAGACTGACTGACAGAAACAAAGAAAGAGAGAAAGAAAAATGAAGACGGAAAAAAGAAGGAGTTTATTATATGACTTGGATCGTACGCGCGCTCTGATTGGTTGATTTGCGGTCTGATATTTTCCCATCTCGGACCGTTACCGTTACAATTGGTCCGAACAGCGCGTATCACATTTGATATCTTTCCACGGGCCGTTACCATGACAATCGGCCCACAGCCCGAATCACACAAAACCAAGTCGGACATGAACATACTTCACAAATATCTCATAAGCATTGGTAAAGACACAGACGAGAGTCATATAATAAAACATTTATTAACCTTGCTTGCTCGGTCTGTACAGAGAAATATCAGACCTTGGCCTTTTTGCACAGACCTCGGTTAAGGTCATTAAGGCCGCGGTCTGATATTTCTTTGTACAGACCTCGCGCTCGGTTAATAAGCTGTTGATATAACTTTTTATGCATGATTCAGTGGTATGCAAGCCACTGAACCACAGTTAGGACATATGTTTACTGTATGTTTGCATATGTCCTAATTTGGGCTGAGTGGATAGCACTCTCACCTCTCAGCCCTGTTCTGAATCCAGGAGTTTGCATGTTCTCCCCGTATCTGTGTAGGTTTCCTCCGGGTGCTCCGGTTTCTCCTACCCCAAAAAATACGCACAATAGGTCAAATCCTCCAGCTTCGGTTCTGACCAAGCCGAGTATCAACTTCTGGAGATAGGTTCCTGGGGGCTGTACGCGACCACTGCTCCTGACGGAAACCTTGGGGATGGTCAAATACAGAGGACAAAGTTCCCTACAGGGACAATAAAGTGCACATTTACATTTTATTTACATTTACATACCTCTAATGATGGCATACAGAATTCACATTGGAAAGAAGGTATTATATTTGTCCTTATGTGTCTGATACTCTCCAGCCCTGAAATTAAGTTCTGGCATTGTGTGATCGTGGATCATCTGAGTTACATCGATGGTACATTCAAAGTGTGACTTAAAGGTTTAGGAGGATTTTCTACTTCCAGGTGGATCATCAGGACTATTGGTCCTTCCAACTGTCAATCATTCTGTTGATAGTGCTAAAATAAGACCAGAGATTTTTCCAAAAGTGAAGAGGACGGTTCTTTCCTAAAAATTGAGTAAATCCTCCCCCTATAGACCTTTAACTTCACGACACTGGATAGCTGGACAGCTTTGAAGCGTAATGTTTTGCAACGCTCCTATGCTAATCGCCACCAGTCGTCTCAGTGCTGTGCAGACCACTGAATGGTGAGTATAGTCCACGCTTTGTTTAATTGGTTGCCTCGGCAACGCGAAGCTTTTATCAACGCCAGTGTGTGTGTGTGCGTGTGTGTGTATGCGTGTGTGTGTGTGTGTGTGCTGTTGATTCTCTAACAGGTGCCAGAGTGGGGTGGCTGCGACTGTATAGTGCCAAGCTTTTGCTGTGTCCTTAGGCAAGACACTTCACCCATATTGCCTAGAATGAGTCTGGTGTGTGAATGGCAATGAATGGACACAGCCATTGGTCCACAGGGAGCAGGATGACCACTGTTCGGAAAAGTTTATAATGTCCGTAGATGTTGTGAATCATCACTGACCTCCAGGAGTCAGGCTGTAGAACAAGGACTGAGGCATAAAGAGCGTTGAACAGGCATTTTTGCTCAAATGAAAGAAGTTGCTGATCGCTAACTTGATCTGCGGCCATAGCAAAGCTTACAGGGCCTTTAACGTGAGGTTTTTTCTGCTAGTGATTTTGGTGATGAGTGAATTTGCGTCATATTACATGGTTTTATATCAATATTGAAATGAGCCACTTATGCCTTTTGAGAAGAAGCATGAAAAGTATAATCAAACACATTTCATTCATAAATGTGCTTTACCCAGGCCTCGCAGAGTCCCCAGGTGAGTGATCATGTAGTGGCTGATGGTGTGATAGGCCAGAGAGTCGAACATGCTGCTGAGCGCCGAGGCCCTAGCTGCCGTCCCGAACAAATACTCCAGAATCAGGTTCCAGCCAATGAAGAAGGCCACGAACTCCCCCACGGTGACGTAGCTGTAGGTGTAGGCTGATCCCGTGGTCTTTGGGACGCGCACACCCAACTCAGCGTAACACACACCTGAACATACATCACACAGCATTCTTTTTTAACCATATACTACCCAGACAAGTGAGTCTGCATGTATACTGAGACAAGAGAGGTCTGAGTCTGTATGTATACTGAGACAAGAGAGGTCTGAGTCTGCATGTATACTGAGACAAGAGAGGTCTGAGTCTGTATGTATACTGAGACAAGAGAGGTCTGAGTCTGCATGTATACTGAGACAAGAGACAAGAGACAGGAGTAGACTGAACAAGCTGGTCAGGAGGGCCAGCTGTCCCCTGGACTCTGTGGTGAAGGTGAGGGACAGGAGGCCCCTGGACTCTGTGGAGGAGGTGAGGGACAGGAGGCCCCTAGACTCTGTGGAGGAGGTGAGGGATAGGAGGTCCCTGGACTCTGTGGAGGAGGTGAGGGACAGGAGGCCCCTGGACTCTGTGGAGGAGGTGAGGGACAGGAGGCCCCTGGACTCTGTGGAGGAGGAGAGGGACAGGAGGTGCTAGTCAAAGTCACCTCCATCATGGACAACACCTTCCACTGCTCAAGACTGTAGAGGAGCTGAGGAGCTCCTTCAGTGGAAGAACGAGCGCTACCACAGGGCCTTGATCCCCACTGCTGTCAGACTGTACAATAAGTCAATCTAAGTCACTTGCATTAGGACTAAAAAAACCTGCACTACTTATTGAAACCTGACTGCCACTTTTGAATAGACACTTTTTATTGTACATAATATATCCTGCATTCAACATGTTTAGACATTTCTTTCTTTTGCACAATCTTGAGTGTTTCTGTCCATGCCAGATGTGACATGTACATTTCTCCAGTGTGAGATCAATAAAGTCTATCTTATCTTATCTTAAATGTAGTTCTACAGTTGATTAGCACAGGTTTAACTATATTGTATAAACTGTATGTATTTTAAACGTTTACAATGTCAAGAATAAAACACACTCTATCTACTCTTTAGTCATTGCTCTCAAAACACAGCTAGCCTGTATGGGGATTGATCCCACATCCTTGGCATTATTAGCAACACGCCCCTTTCCAACTGAGCTGATCAGCCTTTGTATCATCAATTTTTGAGAGCTTGATGTGCATTCATCAAACCTCAAGTTCTATATATGTATTTTCACAGTTTATGAATCTATCTTTAGCTCATTTTTATTATGAACAAAGGTAAGCAGGGACTTCTAGACATGGTGTTAGTATTAGATAGCAATATGGCCTACGTGCAGGACTCTACAAGGACTCCATGTTATGACTATGATGTGACTGTCTCTGTGTGACACGTATGTCTTTCGATGTGTGACGTGACAATGACTATATAAACTGTGTACTGCCTTTATTCTGTCTGAGAGAAAGAAACAGAGTAAACCAGTGGAACTTGAAAGAAACTTAAATAAACTTCCAGAGTTTGGCACACCACGATCCGTCTCTGTCTGCTTAAATCCTAACAGATTTGGTGGAGAATGCGCGGCTCAGTGTGTGCCATTCTCTGGATTGTTTTGAGGGAGTTTGCTTTGTTTTCTTTTTCTCGGCGTGGGAGAGCTGAGAGTGTCTGGGGCCTGGGAGCGGTCCAGCAGGCTGGAGAGGCGACCGGCTCCGGGACTCTTTTTCGCTGTCTCACTATATTTTTTTGTGTCCTGTTTTTTGGACTGAGCGTTTAAAATTGTTTTCCCATGTCCACATTCCGGGGATTTTTGACGTGCGATTGGTCTCTGCCGATGGAAACTAGTTCCCGGTACTAGTGAGCGCTGGTTCATGATCTGGAGACCTGGTTGGACGTGGAAAAGCTGATATTTGGTGGACTTCTGACGGTGCCTGGGCCCTGTTCAACAAAAGGTAAGAGTGGACACCTGTTTATTCAAAGTCTGCTAATTGAGTGAACTAAATTATGGTCTGTTTTGAGGTCCACCAAATGTCGTATATCTATATAGATCGGATTAGGTAAGATTCAGGTCCGCCACCTCGATAAAATGGCAGTGTAATTGATCATCAGGTCCGCCACCTCGATAAAATGGCAGTTTAAATGATCATCAGGTAAGCCACCTCGATAAAATGGCAGTGTAATTGATCATCAGGTCCGCCACCTCGATAAAATGGCAGTTTAAATGATCATCAGGTAAGCCACCTCGATAAAATGGCAGTGTAATTGATCATCAGGTCCGCCACCTCGATAAAATGGCAGTTTAAATGATCATCAGGTAAGCCACCTCGATAAAATGGCAGTGTAATTGATCATCAGGTCCGCCACCTCGATAAAATGGCAGTTTAAATGATCATCAGGTAAGCCACCTCGATAAAATGGCAGTGTAATTGATCATCAGGTCCGCCACCTCGATAAAATGGCAGTTTAAATGATCAAAACAGGTTGCTACCTCGACAAAATAGCAGTTACGGCCAGAATAGTTAGTGAATCCATGGTGTGAACAGAAAAGCAATAAAAAGGGAAATGTGTTAAAGAGGCCTTTGTTACAAAAGCTTTGAAATTGACGAATTTCAGGCTGATAAATGACAAAAGTACATAAGCAACAATATTTCAGTGATCACGGTTTAAATTACATACAGAAAAAGGGAGTTTTTTGTTTTTTAGTTTGTTTTTGGAGTGAACAGAGTTCACCGGAGAATGCAGAGTTTTATCTAAAGTTGAGCTATGAGAGCTTTCGTGAGTTATTTACATTTTTTGCCGAGTTATATCTACAGTTAAGCTATGAGAGGGTTGTATCCAACAGTTGTTTTTGTTTTTTAGAGAGAGATTTTGAGTTTAAATTAGTTTGCTACCTCAATAAAATAGAAGCGTAAACGTTAAAGACAAGAGTGCCTTTTGTTACTAGTGTGGAAAGTGGCCATTTCTAGACTTGGATGACAAAAGTATAAAGAACAACATCAGTTATATTTGCTTAAAAAAGTAATCTTGAAAGTCATTCTTCTTTCTGTTTTTGCATTTTTGCTAAAACACTACTTTCTGCCTGTGCGTGTGTGCGTTGCACTATCTGCTGCCGTTGTCAGGGAAACGGCCCCCTCCTTTGCTGCTCTGGCTCTGAATCAGAGCAAAGCTACTGCTTTTAGGATTTCTGGCTTTTCATAGTTGTTGTTCCGTTAAATTTGCTAAATTTGCAATTGAACATTGTGTTATGACACAGTTAAACGTTTTTAAACACCATTAGTGAATAAGTTTTGAATATTATATGTTTTTAAAACCCAAATATTAGTGCTAAAGCTGTGCAATTCTTTTTAGACCTAACATATTTCTAGATTCCATTCTTTTAAATCTGCTGCTTATTTCTTAACTGTTTGTGAGTTGTGTTTGTTTTTTATGTTTTTATTTTAGTTACAAAAGCGATTTTTCAAACATTTAAATTAGAATCTGTGTTAAAAGTGATTATTGATTATAGACTTCGTCTAAAAAGAAAGAGGGAATTAGATTAGCTGTAAAAGTATTATATTATTAAGTTAAACTACCCAATTCACATGCAAGTGGCGACTTTTTGTTTTTCTTTTGACTACACGCCTGACCTTACTGCTGCTGATGCCACAGCAGAGGAGACTGGCTCTAAAATGTGCAAGATAATTAAACACACAGTACAAAAGTACACATATTTTAAAGTTTAAAAAGGTTTTTTTTAGATTTGAGTCTTGTTTTTTTATATTAAGAGTTTCTGGTCTTAAAAATGTCATCATTAGTAAGATAATAAGTAATCTTTTATTTACATAGCGCATGTGGGAAAACCCAGAGCGCTCCAAAATTGTTTTGACTTTAGGGAGAAAAACAATCTCATTCACAATCTCTGTTGTTTTTAATTTGACTATAAGGTTGTTTTCCAGAACCAAGGGCACACACTGTACAGGGTCACTGGACAGCAGGAGTGGACACTGAGGGATCAGAACAGTGGCCCAGAGTAGACACCATCCAACCAGCCGCAGATCGTAAAGGCGCCATAGCTACCTCCGTGTGCCCCTCCCCCACTACAGACCGATGGTCGTAGGTGGCAGGGGCCACAAAGTGAGGTTTCTGTAGGCAGTGGTGGGTGAGTTGTTTTGCAATCTGGAAGTGTGTCCACTTTGCTTGTTTACATCGAGCCAGTGTGACCTTTGAGACCTGCAGGTGGTTCGAGGAGTCTGGAGACACAACCCCAAAATTCACACCCTACACACACACACACATACACACATTCATACACTCACACATTCACATTTACATATAGATACATGAAAAAGCAGAACATGAGAAAAAAGCATTTTAAAAGTTTACTTCAATGTAAACACATATTTTTAATTGTCTATCCCTTGAATCAGTATTTTTGAGACCAGAAATGTTCATTTGAATTCTATATTGTCATGGACATAATTGACCTCTGTCCTGACACTTTTGATTTGTTGATTTTGTACTGTGTGAAGTAATTACATTGATTAGAATTAGATCTGATAAAAACACAAATTAGAGAAGTAAACTGCGCTTGCTTTTGTCTGAGAGACATTAGCAACAGCATGAATAGAAATTGATTAGGATTAGAATCAAAGTGACTAACCATAGAGAGTAACTACTGCATAACAAGCTGTGTACAGGAACTGAGACACTGCACCATTGACCAGAAGTGCATCGCAAATGACCTGATGTGCTTCAAGTGAAAAGACTGTATCTGGAGATCCTGATGTGCATCTGGAGAGACCAAACCATGGCTTGGACCCTACTGATGTCCAAGATGACATCTCTCAAAATATGAACCTGATGAAGACTGAGACTCACCCGTGAGGACCTGAGGACCTGAGGACCCTGAGGACCTGAGGACCTGAGAGAAAAAACTGGGGAGTGATGTTTATATTATTGAAATCATGCCATTGATGAGTGCTAAATGAGACAGATACTCATGATTCTTTCTTTTGTTTTTGTTTGTCCCTAGCTTCTGGACATCTGATGATCTATTGGACACAGCCATTTGCAGAACAAGAACCAGCCAATGAAAATTGTCTATTGCCGATGCTATTGCTACAACCAGAAACTGTGACAAAATGCAATATAC